AATTATACTACAGAGCTATAGTAACAAAAACAGCATGGTATTGGCACCAAAACAGAAATGAGGACCAATGGAACAAAATAGAAGACACAGAGACAAACTCACATAAATACAGTTATCTCATACTAGACAAATGTACCATAAACATACATTGGGGAAAAGATAGCCTTTTCAACAAATGGTGCTGGGAAAACTGGAAATCTCTATGTAACAATGAAATTTATTCCCTATCTCTTACCCTGCACAAAACTAGTGGATCAAAGACCTAGATATTAGACCATAAAACCTATACCTATTAGAAGAAAATATAGGCCTAGCATTCCATCATGTTGGCTTAGGAACTGACTTCCTTAACAATACTCCTAAAATGCAAGAAATAAAATCCAGAATCAATAAATGGGATGGTATCAAGTTAAAAAACTTCTTCACAGCAAAGGAAATAATCAAGAGCACAAAGAGAGAGCCTACATACAGAATGGGAAAAAAAATCTTTGCCACCTGTACCTCAGCATTACTCTCTGGGATATATAAAGAGCTCAAAAAAACATTTAAAAAACCAAATAATCCAATTAATAAATGGGCAAAGGAACTGAACAGACACTTCATAGAAGAAGAAATAATGAATGGTCAGCAAATATATGAAATTATGTTCAACATTTCTAGCAATTAAGAGAAATGCAAATTAAAACTACACTGAGATCACATCTCAAGTCAGAATGTCAATAATCAAGAATACAAGTAACAATAAATGTTGGCAAGGATGTGGGGATAAAAATACTCTCATATATTGCTGGTGGGACTGCAACTTGGTGCAACCACTCTGGAAAGCAGTATGGAAATTTCTCAGAAAACTTGGAATGGAACCACCATTTGGCCAGTTATCCCACTCCTTGGTATATACCCAAAGGACTTAAAAAAAAAAAAAGCATACTACAGTGATGTAGCCCCATCAGTGTTTATAGCAGCTCAGCTCATAATAGCTAAGTTATGAAACCAACAGATGAATGGATAAAGAAAATGTGGTATATATGTACAATAGAATGTAAGCTATAAAAAGAATGACTTTATGACATTTGCCAGAAATTGAATAGATATGGAGACTCTTATGCTAACTGAAATTAGCCAATCCCCCAAAACCAAAGGTTGAATGTTTTCTCTGATATGTGAATGCTAACACACAACATTGGGGGCAGAGGAAGAATAGAAATTCTGTAGATTAGCCAAAGAGGAATGAAATAAGGGAGGCGAGACAGGAAATGGGAAAGACAGTGGAATGAATGTTACTTAACTTTCATATGTACGTAAATATACCACAGTGAGTCTTTATATCACATACAACCACAAGATTGCCATCCTAATTAGGAATAAGATGTACTCCATGAGTGTATGAATATGTCAAAATATACTCTGTCATGTATAACTAAAAAGAAAAATGAATATCTTTTTAATTTTGGTATCACACATATCCCCAATGTTAGAAAGTAGATCGAGATCTTTCTTTTAGAGCTCCGAAAGAGGTTTTTACTTTTTGTAAATGAAAAACAGTATATTATTATTATTGACTTAAAATTTGTTTTGTACCATTTCCTCAAAGTACTGAAGCTCATTTTCATAGCTACTAAATATAAAGACAAAACGACTTTGTCCACATTTGTTAATTTTCTTTGACTATAGGCATTGGTGTTTATTTTTGGCTAATGTATAATTATTGATATATGCTTTATAATGTACCACCAAGTACAGCACCTTTAAAATTTGGTTGTTACTGTGTTCTGCCTTTTAATATTATAGAAATAATCTTAGAAAAAAGAATGATGCATATTCATCAGGAGAATCAGGAATATAACATTTTTAAGTCTCTATGTAAATGAAATATTTGTAAGTCTTTGTTTTTGTTATATTGAAATACTGGAGATTGTGTAATTTGTAAAGAAAAGGGTGTTAATTTGGCCCCAGTTCTGAAGGTTCCCAAGATCAGGCTATCACATCAGGGTGGCCTCTGTTATAGACCTCATGGCAGGAAAGTGAAAGGGAGGTGGGCTTCTCCAGAAAAGAGAAGGGTCCAGTGTCCTAGAGATGTAACTCAGTGGCAGAGTACTTGCCTAGCGTGCACCAATCCCCAGTACCACACACAATCAAGAGAGGAGGGGCCAAAGGGGCTAAATGCTTTATAACAAAGTGTTCTTTGGGAACTTATACAGTCTCTGGAGAAAGACGTATAAATCCCTCTTAACCCACCACCAATCAACATGGTTGAAAACTCAGTAAGAGTTTTGGTGAGGGCAAGCTGTAGCAATGTTCTTCTGGTTTTAATAATTATTCCAACCCCCCAATCCTCTCAGATATTTTTTTCCTTTTTTCTTTTTCTTTCTTTGAGATGGGTTCTTGCTATACTGTCCAGGCTAGACTCCAACTAACTCCTGGGCTTGAGTGGTCCTTCTGCCTCAGCTTCCTAAGTCCTAGAACTAGAGGTGTACAACACTGAAATTGCTGGTCTCAGATTTTTTAAGGCAGTGAATTAAGTAATAACTAATACCGAATTTCATTTCAGAAAGGATTAGTTTTTACTTTTGAGATATAATTTATATATTAAAAACAGATTAGGTTTGAAGTCAGTACATAGGTTGAATTTTACAATAAAATTACCCTTAGAATTTCTCAAATGTTTATAAAACAGTGAACATGCTTTATTTCAGTAAGTACAACACAGGTAGTTGTTTTTTCATTGTTAGGTCAGTTTCCTGTTTGGTTGAATAATTGTCTTATATATAATAGTCTTGTGATTTAAATAATCTTTTAAATACTAAAATGCACTTATAATTTATTTAAATGCATGTGTGCTATAACTCATTCTGTTTAAATAAGAAGAAAGATAGCTGAACAACTTTGGATAGGATTGTTTACCATTGTTAGTGCAGATGTTCTTCAAGATTTTTAGGTCCGTTGTTATTCCAGAATTGATAGTTTATGGAGGACTAATTCAAGATTTAAGCTTACAAGAGACTTGGGCATAAATTTTTAGATTATTGGGTTTTTTTTTTTTTTTGGTTTTGAATGAAAAAAATACCTTCATAGTGATTGGCTTATTCCATGTATGATGTATAATCCATTTGTTATTATCTAAGTATATGAGGAGGAAATGAGAAATCACAGGGTTATTTGGTGACAATAAACAAATAATTTGATTCTGGTGGATTTTTAATTCTTATATTGAAAAAATCCAAATAAGTAGTCTAGTCTATCACAGTAGTTTAAATTTTGGTGATATGGATAATCAGCTACCAGACAGTATCAATTTCCTTTGAAATTTTTCCATGGTAGGTTTCTGTCTTGGATAGCTAGGTGTTTGGTAGTGACTTTTATGAAAATAAGGGGAAGAAAAAGTAAATTTGGGAGGAGGGTAAATTCAGTTTGATGTTACTGAATTTGAAATGTGGGTAGTATAACCCAAACATTGTTGAACCTGAATTTTTAAGTACAGAAGAAGAAGCCCCTCTAGAAGATACTGAGAAAAAATGGGCAGAGATACAAGAATATTAGAGGAGTGTTATACCATAGAAACTCTAGTAAAAGAATGGTTTAAGGAGAGAAAGGTCAGGCACTGCCAGATAGTACAAAGTGGTCAAGTATGAAGAGAAATTGTCTGCTGGTAATAGAAATTGGTAGGGACTTTAGTTAAGAATAGTTTCAGGGGGCTGGGGTTAGCTCAGTTGGTAGAGCATTTGACTTACACGTGTGAGACACTGGGTTTGATCGTTAGCATCATATAAAAACAAATAATAAATAAAATAAAGGTATTGTGTCTGTCTATAACTAAAAAAAAAAAAAAAAAAAAAAACCAAAACAAAGAATAGTTTCAGTATAGTGTTCTAGATTGAAGCAGGTGGTGGTAGATTGGGGGCAATGCCTGTTGGGTATGGAAATTAAAGCTAATAAATGTGGACAGTCCTTAAAAGAAGTTTACCTCTGAAAAAGAAAAATATACTCTCTAGGGCTAGGAGAGCATGGGTTTCTAGACTTGTTCCTTTAAAGGAGGGAAAATGATTATTTCATTTGTATGTTCTACAAATTTTTAGTACCTCTTCAGTGTTCTTACTAGGCATATGATAGTGAACAATTATTACAGTAGGTTAAGCCTCTGAGGCTGACTGCATGCTTCATGGTGAGCCCAGAGTCCAGACAGCAAGAGAAAATGTGGAAATGTAAGTGCTCTGATGAGTGACAAAACTGTTCTCCCCAAAAACAAGAGCTTGAAAGAGGATTCATAGAGAATATAATAGACTCCATCAAGAAATCTATTCTTAGGTTGCACCTGACTTGTCCAGGGAAGATTTTATACCCTATATTACTTTATATTGCCAAGAAATCCCTGGGTTTAATGAAAAATTTTTACATCATAAAACAATAGTGTTTTAATACTACAGTTTTTGTAATTCTCATATAGATATTTTAAAGACTGCATTTAAGATAATTTAAACTATCTTAAAAATTTCATATTATTGTAGATTCAAATGTAATGTTAATTTAAAAAATTTCTGTGTGTCCTCTCAGCCTTCTCTAGTGGTAACATCTTGAAAAATTATAGTGTGGTACCAAGATACTGACATTGACACACTCTACCTTATTTAGATTTCATCAACTTTACATGCTCTTATTTGTGTATATATTTAGTTATGTGTAGTTTTTATTCACATATATTAATTTATATGACTGCTACCATGGTCAAAGTACTGAAAGGATTTTAGACTTTTTTTGGAGGGGGGCTACCAGAGATTGAACTCAGGGACACTCAATCACTGAGCCACATCTCCAGCCCTATTTTGTATTTTATTTAAAGAGAGGGTCTCACTGAGTTGCTTAGTGCCTCACTGTTGCTGAGGCTGGCTTTAAACTCTCAATCCTCCTGCCTCAGCCTCCCCAGCCACTGGGATTACAGGTGTGTGCTACCTCACTACTGGGCCAGAAATCACAAAAGTATTAAAATAGTTTTTTCCCCCCCACAGTGTTTTGGAACAACATAAACTGACAAAAGAACAATGGGAAGAAAGAATACAGAACTGGCATGAAGAACATAGAGGAATGCTAAGGTATTTTGGTGACTATGTTTTCCTTCAATTAAAGTACTTTTATTTCATTTAAAAATTTTCAACACTGTTATATATTATGCCCCCCCCAATCATTTGAGTTTTATGAAAAAACATTAAATTTCAATCCAATGTATTTTTGTAGTTTTAATCTGATATTTAGATTCTTCCACTTAAATATATTACATTTAGCTTTATTTCAACAGGGAAGATTCAATGATGGAATACTTGAAGATTGCGCAAGATCTAGAAATGTACGGCGTCAACTATTTTGAAATAAAAAATAAAAAGGGTACCGAATTGTGGCTAGGTGTTGATGCTTTGGGTCTGAATATTTATGAGCATGATGACAAGTAAGTAAATCAACTGCATAATGAGCTAGTTGTTAGTCGGTGGTGTAAATGTCTATCAAATTATGTTCTGTTTGTAAAAGTGGTTTCTTGTCTTGGTTACCCTTACTGTTTGTTTTGTTTTGGTTTTAGTACCAGAGATTGAAACTAGGGATGCTTAAGAACTGAGCCAAATCCCCAGCCCTTTTTCATTTTGAGATAGGGTCTTGCTAAGTTGCTGAGGCTGGTTTTGAATTTGTGATCCTTCTGCCCTGGCTTCTCAAGCTACCAGGCTTATAGGCATTTGTATTTCCATTTTCTTAGCACCTTGCAGTTTCAAAGGTTCTACTTCTTGGTGTTTATCAAATGGGGTGACTTTTATTTGAGTTGTAGTTTATCTCATTTTGAGTTATGTCTTCTTATCAGACATAACTAAAATCTCAATAGGTTAAGGATAATTCCTTAGATGTTATGATACTGACAAATAGGTTAAAGTTAACATGTATAAGAAATCATAAGCAATGAGAGAAGTTATAATAGAAATATATATATTGGGTTTTGAAACATTTTTTAAATGTTTATAGGAATTGTTTTGAATATTTTGGACATGAATAGAATGTTAAGCATAATAAACAGTCTGATTATATTTTAAAAGTGACTAGCTTGTCAGTACTGCATTATACATAAATATATACACACACACACTCTATATGGGCATATATCTGTATATATACTATATTGACATATATATATATTTATATATGTGTACATGTATGTAATACCATATAAATATATCAGATTCTGGTAGAACTTTTGGGGAATAATTGCTACAATTATACATTATTACCAAACCACATAAGCATTGAAGTCTGTGTCAGTATTGCCTTCTCCTAAGGCATTGTTTTTTATTCTGGGTTGGCTCCAGAATTTTAGTTTTCAGATTATACCTGTCTAATAAAGTATGTATTTCAAAGTCTATAATTATGACTCCAGAAAAGGAATTTTGCAATTTTTACTCTATACAAAGCAAGTTAGAATGCTAGCTATATAATTCACTACACGAAATTTAGCAGGTTTTTCAAAGGCAGAAATTACCTTAAGACTAATTATGGATGGATTTTTATTTTTTCTCCTTTTAAAAAAATCTTTGAGCCAGGTGTGGTGGTGTATGCCTGTAATTCCAATGACTTGGGAGGCTGAGGCAGGATAATCTTGAGTTCAAAGCTAGCCATAGCAACTTAGCAAGGCCCTAAGCAACTCAATGAGACCCTATCTCAAAATATAAAAAAAAAGGGCTGGGGATATGACTCATGGTAAAGGGCCACCGGGTTCAATCCCTAATGCCAAAAGAAAGGGAAGAAAATTTTTCTACTTGTTTCCAGGCTCCCAATATAATTCTCACAATTATATTCTTGTAATTTTTTAAAAGTAGCAAATAAATGTAGCAAAGTTTTACCTTAAAAGTATTGTGTTCCATCTGGATGCTGTGGTTCATGCCTGTAAGTCCCAGCTTTGAGGAGGCTGAGACAGGAAGATCACAAGTTTGATGCCAGTCTAGGCAGCTTAGTGAGATACTGTCTCAACATAAAAAGGACTGGAGGCAGGGAACAGTGGATGTGGCTCAGTTGTAGAGTTGTGGTTGTGTTTCTGTCACTTCCTTTTCAAGCAGCTTACTTTGATTTAGTGGGCATTAGAGGCTAGAATAACACATGCATATTGTGTAAAGAATGTTTTATGTAGAAAAAAACAATTTGCTATGCTGTAGTACCTATGTGCTTAAGTATTAAAGGTAGTACAAATAGCTAGAAATTCTTAGTTATGAGTAGCCTGGATGACTTCTTGGCTAGTGTAAGAGTCAGTCATTTCTCACTTATATGATTTGATTGATAGTCTGAAAAAGTAAAATATATGAAAAAGCAGAAACAAAATTACTTACTCTAATCAGATTCCCTGTATTTTTATATGTAGGGTGATAAAAAGGGACAACTGTCATATAGAGTTTGAATTTTAGTTCTACCACTTATCCAGCCATTTGTGAACACTTTAGAATTTTAAAAAATTGAGATATAATTCATATACCATTAAATTAATTCTTTCCAAGTATACTGAAAATCCAATGTTTTTAATATATTCATATATCTAAACATTTAACAAGAAGGAAATAATAGTAATTGATGTTCATAATCCACATGAGAAGTTATAAAAACCTAATTTTTGCCCTTTCCTTCTTAAACATATTTAACTGAAAGTTGTAGTAGCTTAAAAACGGAATAAAAATCTAAAATAATATAGACTCCAAGAGACTTATTTCTATACTCTGATTACCAGATATTTTTTCTTACATAATTTTAGGAAAATAACTCTAATGCTTTTAAGGTTCATGACACATTTATAAACTCTTTGAGAGGTTATTATGTGATTCAATATGTCAAATTTCTATTAAAAATACATTTTGAAAACATAACTCTTTAAGATTGCCAAACGGCCCCCAAGAATTGATTAACTTTTTCTGTTGTTTCCTGCCTTTAATTAAAGGGATGCTCTTACTTTTTAAGGTTAACACCTAAAATTGGCTTTCCCTGGAGTGAAATCAGAAATATTTCATTTAATGACAAAAAATTTGTTATAAAACCAATCGACAAAAAGGCACCTGTAAGTAAATTTATGTTTTAACTCTTTAAATTTCTGCTACTTCCCTATGATGTCACTTGAAGAATGGCATTAATCATTTATTGAATTGCTTTTGAGGTACATTCTCTTTTTTTTAGTTTTAACTTTCCCAGTGGTAAAGTAACAAATGTTTCACCATTTTTAAGAAACAATTTAAAAATTATTTGGTGACTGGAATATAGTAGAGATAGTTAACTCTGTTTATAGAGTTTTATATTATAAATTTTTTTTTTCTTTCGCTTGGAGCCTTGGATCTTTAAACAGATTTTTAACATTTGGCTAATGTCAGGGATACTCTAGCATTCTATCTCTGCTTGTTATTGAAAACAAAAAGATATGGAGGACATTTCTAGGTTGAAAACAGCCACAAACAAGGACTGATTTTGACATTAATTGTGAAAAGCTAAACAAAATAATCTCCTCTTCTATGGTGGTAAGGAACAGGTGGTCATAGTTATTTGGAAAAGAAAAAAGAATGACATTTAAAGTAATGAGAGAATAAGATATTAATCTCTGTATAAAACTGGTTAGGCATGCAGAGGTAAGGAACTAGTAATTAGGAATTAGGAAATTTAATGATTTCTAAACTATGTATATATATTGACATTAGAATTCCTACCTCATGTTGAAATTTAATGGATATGAAAGACACTATATTTCAGAAAGGTTTTAAATCAGAATATTTTATGTTCAGGATTTTGTTTTTTATGCACCGCGTCTAAGAATCAATAAGCGGATTTTGGCCTTATGTATGGGAAACCATGAACTGTACATGCGACGAAGAAAGCCTGATACTATTGAAGTACAACAGATGAAAGCTCAGGCTAGGGAGGAGAAACATCAGAAGCAGTTGGAAAGGTATGAATTTATAGCCTTTCATTTTTAATTGGTACAATAAACTATCTAAAACTTAAGACTTGTCAGTTTTATTACTATACTCTAATTTTAGATTTTTATATTATTTGTCATTGTATTAAAATAGATAGCATTATCACATTGTCCTTTTTATTTTTATTTTTTTAAACCTTTTTTAATATTTAATATTTTTTAGTTGGACACATTATCTTTATTTCATTCTTATGTGGTGCTGAGGATAGAACGCAGGGCCTCACACGTGCTGGGCAAGTGCTCTACCACTGAGCCACAGCCACAGCCCCTCACATTGTCCTTTTTAAAAATGAATATGTATAATTTTCAAGGTAAAATATATGTGACAAATATTTCTTGGAAAATAACTTTTCATGACTTCAAAGATGTGTATTTTTATTTTTTTTTTTAATCAGTCATGCTTTTCACCTATATTGTTTGGGGCAGAGTAGTTTAAAAATTTTCAAATGTGTTTTGCTTTTGACATATTTCTTAAGTTTTTAAGGGTAAGAATGTGCTCAATGTTTAACTTTGAAATAATGTTAGTAACATCGTAGAACTCAAGTTATTGTAGAATAGAAAAACACCAGTAATTCCTACCAAAGACCCTGATCTTTTTGACTGTTTCTCTTAGTCTTGAAAGATACTATTAAATGCACATTAAAACTGAGAAATATTGAATAAAACCCTTATTGAACCTGGAACTGCATTACTCATTCCAGCAACATAATTCCCATATCTGATTCTAGATTTAAACTGTATATTTTATTTGAAAAAAATTTAGTGGCCAAACTGAAGCTAACCCTTTATTGTGGAAATCTTTATGGAACAATGTGATCATGTAAGAAATAGAGGTCTTAAGAAAATCAAAAACCCCAAATTGAGGAAATCTAGACATACATTTTAAACATTGGACATAATATAGTTTGTGTCTAGTAATTAAATGGCCCCTCTTCCAGATGTCACTGTGCTATTATAGTTCTGCTATTTGTATTTAATGATTTTTTAAAAATGTTGTAAGTAATTCAGATGTTTTATTATTTTTACTTATTTTATAATATTAACTTAAATTGTATGCCCTACAGAATCTGACTTTGTTAGATTTTGTGTGGACATGGACCTTAATAATTCCTGATTCCATTAACAAGGATACTAAATTATATTGTTACTTTGGGCTTTGTCCTTTTTTCCTGCTGTCATGTGCCTTTGGATTACATTGTGTTTCTAGTCTTACTTTTTAAAAAGTTCTTTATGTATATTCTTATATTTTAAAAAATCATCATAAAACTTTTACTCTCTTCTCCAAAGTTTTCTATGCTGGATTAAGTGAAAAGTTACTTTATGTGCAGTTCCTGTATCTTATAGTCACCCCTCCGTATGATGTCTAGTTGTTCTGCTGTCCTATTATTTATCTTATTCCTCAGCACATAGAAGTGGGCTATATGGAATCTTATTAGTATCATTTGGTGATAGTTACTCTAAAACCTAGAAGGAAGTGGAACACTTAAGTTTCTTTTTTGGCATTGTAATTCATGTTTCCTTTTTGGAATACATTTTATAGCTTTTCATTAGTAATTGTTTATTGACTGCTTTATGCACAGTGAGAGTTTATAACTTTATTATTCTAGTCATTTAAGGATTGATAGACTTTCAGAAATGGCATGCTAAGTCTTCATTTATTCCCTGCTTTACAGGGAGAGAGAAATGGCAGCTGTATATGTGGAAACAATTTTGGTCAAGCCCACTGGTAAAGTAGCCAGCAGACATAACTTTGGGGAATGCTCAGAGGTGTGCTGTCTGTGCTGCTAGAATCACTTGGGCAAAAACAGTAGATGGGAAAGGGCAGCCAGTAGACCTCTTACCCTACAATATCTTTGTTTTTGTGGCTGAATATTTTCCCCATAATTCTTTTATTGGCAATGAAAATGGTCTTGTTATTTATGTCCAAATTGAATGACTCATTCTGTCATACCTGAACATAATTTTCTATAGCCAAGATGGTTACTAAATTTAAAAACTGAAAACCTTAAGTTTATAATTTGGAATCAGATATCCATATGCCAATTGTAGGTTAGCTGTGGAAGCTTCTGTGTCATGGCTGGCTGCTTATGTCACGAGAACATAGCTGGTGTCATACAAAGAGCATAAGCTTTGAAACTAAATAGATCTTGCTTTGAATCCTCTTCTAATTCTTGTTTAATAAGACTTTTTTGAGCCTGTGTTCCCTTGCTTTTATTAGGAAAGTAATAATCTTACCTTCAAAGGTTTTTTTTTAAGAAATAATGACACCTATATATAGGCATTTAGCAAAGTATTTGGTGTTTCTTAAATAGTAGCTGTTATAGTAATTCTCAATATTTTAACATATTCTAAGTTGAATGTAAATTTAATATTCATTTAGGAAAAATGTTAGTGGGCCCATTTGATAATCTTTGAAAAATATTCTAAAATAATTTATTTTTGTATGTTAATATATAGAATACGTAGTTTACTAATGTTATTTATGACCTTGAAATAGAACTGGGTCAAAATGAGTATTTTCAACCCAAACTCTGAATAAAATATCTACATCCATAGTTGGAGTAACCACAAGAAGTTTTGTAGAGAAGGTGGGGTCTTGAAGGTTAGAGAATAGAGAAGACGTGAATAAATACATGTGTGAAGATAAGAATATGCATGCTATGTTAAGGGACCAGTGAGTGGATCAAGTTAATTCTCCCTAGTAAATGGTGTGCAGCAGAGAAGCAAAATTTCCCAGTTATTTATAAAGGAGACAGGCCTTCAAAAACTAGGTGTTTTGAAGTGTTAGCTGGTAATGGCTCTAATCAGGAGAGAGAAGATGTGAGAAATGAACCTCATAAGAGTGCAGAGTAAATTAAAGAATGTTTAATGTTTTATAATTGGATTAAATGTGTGCTTGTGCTGCACAGTTATTTTTTTTTTTTTCAGTAGGAAAATGATACTTACCCCCACTTTACTTATAGCCAGGTACAGTCCTTTTTATTTACTTCCCTGTCTCTTTCACCTTCATCCCTAAAGAAGAGCAAATGAAACATCAATAGAGAAAAGCTAAATAAAACCAGCACTTTTCCCCAGAAGGGACTCTAAATGAGACAGCTGGACCTGAAAGATTTTGATGGTGAAATATCATTGTAGCTTTCAGATCTTGAGATGGGGTTTGCACTGTGAGTCCTCAAGCAATGTTGTAGGGCCTAAAGGAAGAAAGAAGAGAACTGTCTTGGGGACTTGTGGTAGCAGCAGACATGACTGTGCAGAGGCTCGCAAGTGGTTGGGGTAAGCAGTGGACATCCTCAGGAAGAGGACAAACATGAGTAGTTCTTGCCCATATTAGCAGTTATTTGAAAACTGCTGTGCCTTTGTTTTCACGGAAAGCTTGATACTTCCGCTGTCTGAAGATCACAGAAAGAGCAGCAACCTCTAGAGTTGGGCAGCATCACACCCTTCTTTTCTCTAGGAATGGGCTGCATCCACACTCTTCTTTTCCTCAAGGAAATTAGGAAGCTTAAATATGCCCTTAAGCCTTCATCATTCAGACGTCTAGAAGGGTAGTAACCCCTGTCTCTTTGAATCTCTTTGCCTGTTATATGCTTCATAGAAATGAATGTTTTGTAGAGTGAACACAAGTCCTGGAGTATAGTTATTGATTCTTTCTCCTAGGTTTTGAGAAAGTACCTGTAGGGACCCCAAAACTAAAGTGGAGTTCCCCTTGCCTGAATGAGCCTCAGGCCCTTAGTTCCTAAGTGGTATGAGGATTTATTAAGCCAGCAGGGGTTCTAGTGACTCTTCAACTTCATGAGTTGGCTTGGTGTAACTTGGGGTATGGCAACTGGGGTATGGCAACTGTGCAGTTAACTCTTATTATGCCTGACCACCATCATTGCCTGCCTTGCCCCTAACTGACTTGGGACAATACTATTTGCTCCCAAGTTGGACTCTTTCTCTTGGGGGAACATGATATTTGGAATCTGTAGGAATTTCAAAATTTATGTTTGTAGTTTAAAGGAAGAATACTTTAATAGTAAGACTTTGCTGAGAAATGTGGTTTTGTTGTGAAATTCAGAATTGACACTAGATGGCAGTGATGACTTTTTATGGAACATTAAAAAATGTTACAGATGAAATCATTTGTTTTTAATTAACAAAAAGAAAATTATTCTCATTGAAATAATGATTTGAATATTGATGGAACTTGTTAAGATATAATTTTCTCATCTGACTTTTATTCATCCTTTTGTTTTTGGTCTTCAGCATGGAGTCTGACCCAGAGTAGACTCTTCATGGATGTTTGATGAATGAATTTGGCCGTATTTTAAAGAATGTCTCATCAGTCCATGAGAGATGCAATTAAACAATTAAGGCATGCTTTCCCACCGGCAAGCTCTGATGATGATCTTTTTTTACAGCATTAAACACCTAGTATCATTCTAATGGCATTGTCAAAGGAAATAAAACTGATTTATCATCTTGGATGTAGGCATATATGGGTACTACCCCAGAAATTAAACTTGCATTAATTGATTTATAATTAATTATTTTAAAAATAGCCTCCCCAGTTTAAGAAGGGCTTGTGCTAAAGAAGGCATTTTCTTGGGGTATGGCAACTGAGCAAAATAAACTCCATGATGCTGATGTAGGTTGCCAGAATTGACCCAATGAAGATGGTAACTCTCCTAATCTTTTTCCCTGACTCAAACCTGCCTTAAAAACATGATTTATGGGCTGGGGCTATAGCTCAGTTGGTAGAGTACTTACCTTCCATTCATAAGGCCCTGGGTTCTATCCCCCAGCACCACACAAAAACAAAACAAAACATGATTTATACACAATACTTTCTAGCAGTTTTGTAGTTAAGAATCCTCCTATGATGTCTAAAGCCTTTAATGTTTTTCATAATGGTCATTGATCATCTTTATTATGATCCAACAATAAGAAGTACACTGAAACCCAGCACATGTATATATGAATGGGCATGAGTAACAGCACAGGCCAATATTTTTAACCCTACCATATTTGAAGATAAGTTAATATAATGAAAAATTTTTAAATATTTATGCTGTAGTTTCTTATATGTTCAATATTAGGTTTCACACTATTTCTATTGATTTATAACATGGGAATTGCAATTCCTTCTAAGGGCACAGTTAGAGAATGAAAAGAAGAAAAGAGAAATAGCAGAAAAAGAAAAAGAAAGAATAGAACGTGAAAAGGAAGAACTAATGGAACGTCTAAGGCAAATTGAAGAACAGACATTGAAAGCCCAAAAAGGTAAGTTTCTTTTTAACGCTGTATTCAAAATTATTACTTTACTAACAGGAGTATTTTCTGACTGTTTTTATATGTTTTTTATGTTATTTAGGACAGTTACATTTAATTGACAATGCTTATGGGAATTGGATCATAAAGACATTTTAACTAAAGGCACATTGAGTTCTACAGTGCTCATGTTCTCTTTAATATACTTAATCACAAATATTTTTCACGTGTTACAGATGAATAGCTATTTACTATAGTAAATAACTATTAATTTATAACAATAACTGTTCAGGGTTCCATAAGTAAAACCATATGTTCAGTCCTTTAAACAAAAGCATTTATGCAGTGCTTCAAAGCATTTTCAGCTGTTCTGACTATATACATTTTTAGAACTCACTCCTAAAAAGATTTTAGTGTGTTAGAAAACACAGCACACATTGTGGATATAGCTCAGTGATAAGAGCACTTGCCTTGCTATGTGTGAGACCCTGGTTCCAAATCCCCAAAACTACATTAACAACAACAACAAAAGAAAAATCCACCATACATGTAAGATGTGTTATCTGTTTTTGGTAGTACAGGTTTTGGAAGAACTTAACTTACTTCCTAGGCAGCATGTAACCAAAATACTACAATATGGAAATGATACAAGGTTTTTTTGATATGTGATTTATATTAAGTAATTGTAGAATTACTACTTTCATACAGCAAATAGTAGAAAGAGCAAAAGAAAAAAGATATTGAGCACAATCCAGTGTTTTCCTCCTTCCTAAACAGTAGGATTTCAGAGGGGAACATGAAATCTATACTATTTATAAAACCAAATTTAATAACTTGCTTTCCTAACAACTAGTAGCCATTGAGTTCTACTGGAAATAACCAGTAGTCTTATATAAGGCTTATTTTCATTCCTTATAGCAGCCTCCTATTGGAAGGAAATGCTTTTCGGGAGTATGTAGAATAATTTGCAAGGAGATAGAGTGGAGAGTCACAAAGATAACTCTTAAGTCTTTAAGATGATTAATCATTCCAATTCCAAGAGAATTGGAAATAATAATAGAAAAAAATAGGGTTTTATTCTAACCAGTAGAAACATTATTTATCAGATTTACAGAAGACCTGGAAACTAAATTATTCGAAGCCCAAAAGTAGTAAAGTATTTGTTTGCAGACCACAGCTCAGGGGTATAGCTGAGCAGTAGAGCATCTGCCTAGCATGCACGGCGGCCCTGGGTTCAATCCATAGCACTGCAAAAGGAAAAAAAAGTGTGCAGTGTACTAAAAGATGTTAAAAATGGAAAGTTTATAAACATTTATTGTACCTGTCTGATTTGAAAGATTGAACCAGCACTTTTTTATTTACATAACACCTTTTTTGAGAGAACTACTAAATATTTCAAACTCATTTATTTAGGACGTGTAATAAAAATATTAATTTATATATAAAAAAAGCAAAGAAGCACTGAAGAATATAAGTGAGATAGAACATAAAGAATATAGAACATCCTATCAAGACAATTTCAAATCAGTCATCTTAAGGCAAAAGACACCCAGTTTGGTTTTTGTTTTTCTAATGAAGCTTTTCCAGGCTGTCCTAAAATCTACATGATTGTCTTGTAATTTATATTAAAATCTCATTCAAATGCAGTAACTTCGGCCATCTCTAAGTCATGGTATTTAGTAAATTGACCTATGATTTTTTTGTGTGTGAGAAGAAACTTTTTATTTCATTATTTCTTTTTGTTTTTATTGATGTTATTTTTTTAGATGAATCATTAAATAGAAGCATTGTTCCACATGTAACATTTTAAAAATTATTTATCATTTTTAATTATTTTGAGGATATAATGGCAAATGATATTTGAATATAATACAGCCAGACCTGCATTCAGTTACTGTTCAAGCAAATATCAAGGTGAATTTTTCTTCTTCAGTAAGACAAACTATAGAAAAGAGTTGACATGTAATGATTGCATTTGGTCTGGATACTTTTTAAATCCCTTGCGTGTATTATACACAGTTCTAGGCATTAGGATACAGTACTGAACAGAAAAGGTCCTTGCTCTAATGGAGTCTATATTTTACTGAAAGAAGAGGATGAAATGGTAAAATCATTTTTATATAGTTTTTAAGTGCCAGGAGGGAAGTAAGCATGATGTGATTAAAAGGAGTAGTTGTGGGTAGGCAAGGTGATATTCACTTTGGATATACATTGTTTACAATTAGGAGCAAAGTTTAATTCTGTTGTTAACTTATAATATGATCATAAGGAAGTCATTTCAACCTCTTGGTTTCCTTAGGTTCCTAAATTCATATTTTAAAAAATCAAAGCACTTTTCTGATAGATTCCTTAGGTGTTGTACAGATACTTTTTTTTTGTGGGAGCAGGGAATAATCAGGGATTGAACTCATGGACACTTACTCTACCACTGAGCTACATCCCCAGCCCTATTTTTTTATATCTTTATTTTTATTTTATTTTATATATTTATTTTATTTTTAATGTGGTGCATGCCTCATGCATGCTAGGCGAGCGCTCTACCACTAAGCCAAAACCCCAGCACCCCCCAGCCCTATTTTATATTTTATTTAGAGACAGGGTCTCACTAAATTGCTTAGGTCTTTGCTAACAAAACTTACTTGCTTTCCTTTAAGGTAGTATTCTTTTCTAAGGTTTTTTTTTTTTTTTTTAAAAAAGCGATCCTTGATGAAACATTGCCTTAGAAAAGGGAAGTGTAAATCAAAACTGTGAGACACCATTTCAAATTTGTAGAGTGACTACAATCCAGAAAACAAATATTAAGAAATGTTGGACACAGGGTTCAGTGGCTCACGCCTGTAATCTCAGTGACTTGAGAATCTGAGACAGGAGGTTCATGAATTCAAAGCCAGCCTCAGCAATAGCGAGGAGCTAAACAACCTAGTGAGACCCTGTCTCTTAAAAAAAAAAAAAAGAACTAAATAGGGTTGGGGATGTGGCTCAGTGGTTGAGAGTGCCCTTGAGTGCAATCCCAGGTACCAAAAAAACAAACACAACAACAACAACAACAACAAAAAAACGTTGATGAGAATGTAGAGTAATCATCATACATTGCTGATTGGAATATAATATAGTATAGCCACTCTTGTAACTACTGTGGCAGTCCTCAAAACCAAAAGAGTTAATATAGTCTAGGAATTTCTCACCTTAAGTTTGTACCCAAAAGAAATGAAATCTTACAACACAAAAACCATATACACATATATTAACATTATTTACAATAGTTAGTAGAACAAGGGAAACAACACAGGTGTTCATCAGTTAATGAATGAAAAGATGAACATAGATATGAAAATTATTAATAAAATATTGACAAATTACCTGAAAAAACACATTTAAAAGATAGTGTACTGGGCTAGGTTTGTGGGTCAAGTGGTAGAGTGCTCTCTTAGCACATGTGAGGCACTGGGTTCGATCCTCAGCACCACATAAAAATAAAATAAAAAGATTTTATCCACCTAAAACTAAAAAATAAATATTTTTTAAAAAAGAGTACCATAATCAATTGGTTATCAGCCCAGAGATACAATCACTAAATGTAGTTCACCACAATAAAACAGACTTACAGACAAGAATCACATCATTATCTCATTAGATGCAGAAAAAGCATTTAACAAAGTTTAGTACTCACTGATGTTTAAAACAGTAGAAAAACTAGGAATAGAAGACACTTAGCTCAACATTGTACAGGCTATATATGACAAACCCAAGGCAAACATTATTCTGAATAGAGAAAAACAAAGTATTTGCTTTAAAAACAGGAACAAGGAGAGGAATGAACTATTTCATGCAAATGGACACCAAAAGAAAGCAGGAGTAGCCATACTAATATCAGATAAAATGACTTTAAATCAAAACCAGTAAAAAGAGACAATGAGGGTTATTATATAATGATTAAGGTGTCAATTCCGCAAGAGCAAATCTTTAAAAATATATGTGTGTGTATATGTATATATATCCAATATTATAACACTCAAATAAAGCAACTATTAACAGACCTAAAGGTCAAACCAATACAATCCATAGCTAGGGACTTTAACATTGGACAAATTATCCAGACAGAAAATCAACGAAAAAACGGTTAAATTGCACCCAGTACCAAAGAGACCTAACAGAACATGCTATCCAACAGTTAGAGAATGCAAAACTTTCTTATTAGCATATGGAACATTTTTCAGGATAGATCATATGGCAGTCCACAAAACAAGTTGCAGCAAATTTTTAAAAAAATGAGATCATATTGAGTGTCTTTTCTGATCACAATGCAATAAATATAAAAATCAATAACAGAAAAATCTTTGGAAACTATATAAATACATGGAAGAACTCAAAAAAGAAATTTAAAAATAATTTTTGCCAGTGTAGTTAGTTCAGAACATGCTTGTGTTTGTGTATCAGAATCAAGACTCATAAGCAACCCAGCATATTTAAGCCATGAAATGGTGAAAATACTTTTTGAAACATAACACTGGTCTCTCTCCCTCTTACATTTTTAAATATAAGCCCTCATTTTCTATTTAAATCAACTTCAATGTGCAGTTCTACAGGCTAGATATTTGAAAATCAGTGGTCAAGCTAAAATGCTTTGAATGGAATAAACTAAATTTCTGTAAACCATGTATCTGTTAAATGTTTTACACATTGTCTTTTATAATGTTTATTTTGGGGGATATTGGTGGTTGAACCCATGGCACTTAACCACTGAGTCACATCTCCAGCCCTTTTTATTTTTTGAGACAGTGTCTCGCTGAATTGCCGAGGCTGTTCTTGAACTTTTGATCCTCCTGTCTCATCCTCCTGAGCTGCTGGGATCACAGGCATGCGCCACCATTCCTGGCAGACTCATTATTTTAAATATATATAGGGTGGAACCTGTTTTAAAACAATGTGAAAAGTTAAAAAAGCAAAAACAAAATAATAAATAAATTTTGGGGGCCAGATATATGAAAAGTAATGCAAGACATAATCTGTAG